CAACTATGGGGTGATTTGAGGGCCGCTATTCTAGAAGGCAGGAGAATAAGAGCTAGATTCATAACTAGGTTTATCAGGGTGCTGAACAGGCATGCTAGCAGTGCCCTTGGGCCTTTCTCTTCAAAAGAGACTCGCTGTAGCCATGGCATACATGAGGCCTATGCCACCCAGGGTCCTCTGACTTCTAGGATGTTACAGATGCAGCCTGGCACTTTCCAGGCTGTTCTGCAGGCAGGCACAGGGGTAAGGCCTGGGGACTGACTCCACTTGCCTTACTCTTTTCTCTAGCACTAGATACTGGGACTAGATTGTGAAGCTGGCTCAGGGATCAAGGACCAAAAAGGCTTTGTTCCCTGGACATACTGCTGCCCTGCCTTAGAGACTCCCAGGTGGAGATTCTCACCCATGGCTGCACCTTCTCCAGTTCACCTGCCAGCTCCACACCATTCTGCCCTCTTTGCCACGGCCCACAGCAGTGACACTGGCAAGGCCTGGCTTGTTCCAGAGGACTGTGTAAGTAAACCAGACTTTTCTGCTGCAGTCCCATCTCTCACTGGGTCTCCACCCACACTGGCTGGGTTCTGTACACTGTGTGCAGACGTGCAGGGAAGGGTTGTATACACAGGGGTTGTGGGTCATATATACACTGTGCATATATATATAAGCATATATATATATTTTACATTCATATATATATTGTACAGAACATTAGCCTTCTACCTAAAACAGTTTTGTGACTTCACATATACCTCAGCTCTACAATTTCAACTCCAGAACATGGAGACAGAGGGCAAGGCCCTTTCCACTGTAGCAAGTGGCTAGGCTTATTCCAGATGTGCTCCCTGCCCCAACAACCTGGGATGTCCAGATATATCTTATTTAGAGACCTGCCCACAGGGCTGTGCCCAATCCTCGAGTCTGTCCACTGGGCTGGGTGGGTTCCAGATGTTAACTCCATACAGTTGTCTGTCCATGACATGAGGGCCCTTCCAGATGGGCATCCATGCAGGGCAATTCCAGAGGTGGACCATGGGAGCTGTGTTCAGATGCTGGTGCCTACAGTAGGGAATGTCTCTGAGTGAGTGTGTGTGTGTGTGTGTGTGTGTGTGTGTGTGTGTGGGTGTGTGTGTGTGTGTGGGTGTGTGTGTGTGTGTGTGTGTGTGTGTGTGTGTGTGTGTGTGGCATGACCTCATGCAGCATGAAGCAGCAGCAGCTGCAGCCCACCTTCAGCTCTCCCTGGACCAGAAAGAAAGGTAAGGAGAGGCAGATGCTTCTTGGGGACTGTGGGCCCAGTCTGACTTCTGCTCTCCCATGGATATGTTTAATCTGTTCACCCCTCCCCCACTGCATGATACAAGTGCAGGCAGGTCCCAGGAAGTGCTCTTTCAGCTGAGATGCAGGCCAGGCTGAGGAGGGGCAGTCTCCTACTTCAGGGATTCTAAGTGTAGCTCACTGACCAACACCTCATTTTTCCCCTGTTGTAAGACACCTGCAGACAGGAGCCATTTGAGCACTCAGAATGCTCAGGTTTCATCATCTGTCCATAGCAGAGAAACTGGATGCAGGTCATGGTAGCGGCAGGAGGCTCACTGTGTAGCCCCCAGGGCCTGGACAGGACAGGTGCTGCCCCTCCACTGGGCTAGTGTATGCAGGTAGAGTGCAGGCCCAGACATAGTGGCATGAGGCACTCTTCCATTCAGGGCTGGTTTATAGGATCAGACAGAGACAGCCAGCAGCCACCCCATTTGCTCCATCCAAACCAGCTTCGGTGTTTGCCATTGTTCCTCAGTGCCCCTGTGTGCTGCAGCCCCAGCTCTGTGCACCCCTGAGGGGGTTGGGACAGGTTTCCACTTGAATGATCTGCCTCCTTCTTGATTTCCTTCCCTACCCTGGGAGAGACACAATTCAGCCGGGCAGGGTGGTCCCCAGGGTGCTTGGTACTGGGCTGGTCTCTAGGACAAACATAGGACTTCAGCCAGAGGGCAGGCACTAGCTACACCTCCGGATGTAAGGCTCACGTGGAAGAGGAGGTCCTGCACATGCCACCCCCTTCCTCCATACGAGTCTCTAAACCAACCCAGCGCCGTCTCCCATCATTCTTCATTACCTGTATGACTTCCTGCCCACCAACCACGTCCCGTTCCTTCTCCCATCACAGTCTACATATGTGCATAGCCTCAGAAGAACATGACACATCGGCCGTGTCATGCACAAAAGCACATGTGTGATATGAACACGGATGTGGGTGTGTGTTATAAAACTGTATTGGACAACATAAGACAGTGGTTAATGAATACAGTGGATGAGGACAGACTGGAGAATGGTTTCACTAGAATCCTGTCAGCAGGGTTGGTTTAAAAAACAGAAAGAAAGGAAGGAAGGAAAAGAAGGGAATGTCTTTCCTTCCAACAGGATACTATGAACAGCAAAGGAGGGGGAGTCACCATTGTGAGCCCCAAAAGTCCCTGCGTACTTTCCCACGGAGCCTCGGGAAAGCTGTGGCAAATGATCCCTCCTCCAACAGGCATGCAAACAAACCCTGGTGTCCTGACTTACTGATTGCTCTGCTGCCTCAACTCATGATCTGAATTGGAATAGGTACACGTCTGCACATGCATGGGTGTACGGGTGTGAGTGTACACACACACACACACACACACACACACTCCATTTTCACATGACCCCTCCTGCACAGCACACATCCACCCACGGGGCACAGCAGTCTGGTCTGCCCTCCCCTGCTATCTTCAGGGCACACAAGCCTGCACACATGTGTGTGCACGTGCACACACACACTCATACAAGGACCGCTGATGACATGGCTTCTCCCTTTACATATATTTGGCTATGCTGCAGGTTGTATCCTGCTCCCCATCCTCTGTCACTTAGTACACAGATGTGCGTGCACACACAAACATTCACACATACTGCATCCATCCCTATACTCATCAGAGCCCCATCTCAACATGGCTTTCTCCTGTTTTTACATAGATGAGGCTCTTTTGCTGGTCTTGACTGGGCTCCTTCCTCCCCATTTCATACACACACACACACACACACACACACACACACACACACACACACACACCATATACAAGTAGGTCCCAAAGGAGGCCCCTATTATTGCCTGCTATGGACTTTTTATATACCCATGTCTGTCCTTAATTGCCAGCCCCCAAAACTCACACATACAAAGTCAAACACACATATATGTGCACGCTCCTCCCTCCTGCCAGCATGGCTTTTCCTAACATTCCATGTACTGGGCTTGGCTGCAAGTCTCCCCTCTCCTCCCTCCAGTGCAGACAGGCAGCTAGAGCTCCTGAGAACCAGCATGATGGGATCAATCACATATGCCAGTGGGAGGGTGGGGGCTGCTCGGCTGTGTTCCTTCACCTCTGAGTGAAGTCTCTTGAGATCTAGATATAGCTAGCTCATGCAAGCCTGGCAGCACTAGGAAAGTGAGGGAGTGAGTGTCCCCCAGTTCTCAACCCATGTTGCCCATCCTGATCCCTCATCAGAGACCAACTTCCACCCTTAGTTGTGGGGGCCCTGATGGCCCTGTCATGCTCTCTGTAAGGACACTTTTTGCCTAACCCCTCACATCTGGATCTTTCCTAAGACTTATAGTTTCAAACCTTCAGAGTGGGAACCACAGGTCATCTGCTCATCCCTTTGGCTGTCCCCTCCCTGGCTTCTCCTCTGCTTCTTCTCTTCTCTTCTCCCCCAGATCTCCTAAGACCATAGCTGCTCCAGATAAGAGACCAAGGGCCAGGATGGCCTTGTATCTCTGTGTTGGGTCTTTGGTTAATTTTCCAGGAGGCAGCTTCTCCCTCCCCAGCCTGGGGGCCTCTGGAGGTCTCATATCCCACCCCTGAAAGTTTTCTTTCTCTAGGGGCCTCTTTAGATTGGGCATGCCCAGAAAGTTCTTTAGGTCCCATCTGGCTCCTCCCACCTACCCCAAAGTTTGTCTGTGCAGGGAGACACCAACCCCTCTTTTGACTTGACTTGAACTTCAGTTGAGGCTGTCCTTCTCTTTTCAGGATGACTGGGGGAGGCCAAATTCAAATGGGCAGGGACAGGGACCCGCCAATGAGTAGATGGTGGAAAACCCAGGGTCCTGCATGCTGGCTTGTTTACCAGTAAAGTATTAGGTCAAGGGTCTGTGGGATTTTCATAGTATCTGTATTTCTTCTGCTGGCCTTCTGATGTCTATCGAGTCTTCGGACACTCTTTATGAGAAAGGGTGTCGTCTCTTCTCTGTTTCAGAAGTGGAGAAGAATTTGCTGTGGTTGTTACCTCATTCACATTCCTGGGGAATTCCAAAGCACTCGTGCCTTGGGACACTGACCTTAAGCATCTGCGACCGCAGCCTCGTCTGTGTATTCTCCTTCCATACCAAACTCTTCCTTATACCAAACTCTTCCTTTCCACACCACTTTCCTTGTTGCCAAGGGGCTGCTGCGGGTGAAGCCAAGATGAGAGGACCAGTACCAGGTGAGTAGCCCCCAAGGGCTGATGTCTTGCTTCTGTCCATGTATGAATGGCTGACTGCCTGCCTTTGGGCTCCCACTGGCAGCCTCATTAGAACATTCTTAAAGTGTTCGACGTTGGAGTCTCCGCTCTCACGGCTGTGTGCTAGAAAGCCCTGGGCTTGAGGGAAAGGAAGAGGATGTAAGAGCCATCTTCTGAGGTCCCCGCAGAGCCATGGCAGAAATACCGGTCTATGGAGAAGAGAGGGGTGGTGACTGGAGCCTGAGAGGCATGTGCTTCCGCTGACCTTCCCAGCTTTAGAAAGCCATAGAAAAGACAAGAGGAGATGAAGCCCGAGAAGCTGGCCTAGGGCCCACTGGTTTCCTGGTAGGTAAGAGCTGATGGTCCATAGCTGGATGCAGGCAGCGGCTCCATTCCCAAGGCCAGCATGAGATGAGGATGTCCCTTCCGGTCTCCTTTGCTTTCCTCTGCATGGACCAGGCCTGAAGTCCCTGCTGTACCCACAGCTAGGGGAAGACAGGGGCTAGCGAGGTGCTGCAGCTCATGCTATCCTTGCCCGGAAGCCTGCGATCATTAAATGTGTGCATGTTGATGACTGCGTCAGTCTTGACCATCATAGGAGGCTGTGGCTTGTGCTTGAGACGGCGCTGGCAGGTGAGGGAGAAGCGGATCTCATCGGCTACTGTGCTGCAGAAGGAGCGCTGTGGAGAGACAAGGGGCAGAGTGAGACAGATCCTCTCCTCCTCCTGACCCTGCACTGAGGCCACCAAGAGCCCCAGAAAGAAGCCTGGAAAGTTCTCAGGAGACAAAGAGGGAGGGGCAGGTGGTATCACCTCTCTGTTTCAAAGAGGAGCCCACAGCACCCCAAATGCCATGCACACAGAGCTTAAGGAGCTTTTACGAACCTGTTGGGGGATCCCCTAAACTCTAAGGTTTTGTTCCCATGAATCCAACAGTAGGCCTGACCTGGAGTTAGGGCTGCAGAAGCCCCTGTGACACATGTGGGGAACCCATCCTAATGGGTCTTCCAACTACTGCCTCCTGCTCAGGAGTTCAGCTCGTGTCTAAGGTGGGTGCCCAGTGAATGGGAAATAAGGGCCTTCTGAGCATGGTATCTGCAGCTTGCCAGAGGGACAGCATGAGTGGGGTGTCCCCACAGGTATCTAGAGGCAGTGGCTCCTGAAACCAGCTACTGGACACGGCCCTGGACTTAGACGGTATACAGTGGGCAGGCTGATGGCCCAGCTCAGACAGCAAAGGTATGGAGCATCAGCACCAGCAGGGTGCATGTGGGTTGTGGTACAGGGGTGGTCACCCCACGCATCAGCACCAGGAGGGAGCATGCAGGCTGTGGTAAGGGGAGGCCCCCCACCTTTCCTGCTTTATGCAGAACCTTGTTCTCTTTCCGAATCCTGCAAGTGTGTCCCCACACAAGGCTGCATGCTGGGTGTTAGCACAAAGCAGTGCTGAAGCAGGTGAGGACTTGACCAGGGAGCTGTGGTCTAGCAATGGGATGGGAACGGACAGCAAGCATGCGAACAAGTAAATCCTCCAGCCAGTTATGCCTGTTATTAAGAGGCTAAAGCAGTAATGTGGAAGAGAGACGCGTGGGGATGGGGACTAGGGAAGGCTAGTAACCGGGATGACAAGAGTTAAAATCTACATGGCCGGATGAAGCTGAGAATACGGTGTACTTCAGCAAGCACCCTCCGGGTAGGTGGAACAGCATGTACAAAGGTCCTGAGGCAGAACCATGCTGGGTGTGTCATGTACTCAAAAGGAGGCATGTGTGAGGGCAAGTTAAAGATGGGCATGAGGAAGAGCAAGTCTAAGAGGTGGGCCAATCTTCAGCTCCTTTATGTTTTCTTTTTAAGAGAAGTATAGAATCCATTTCATTCTTAATGATTCCTAAAAATCCTGGCAGCTGTTTTTCTTTTTTTTTTAAATAACGTTTAACCGTTTCCTGTTAAACATTTAGGTATCTCCCCAGTGTTTTATGTTGTGGCTCACCCTTAGACAAACATCCTTGTGAGCCAGACAATCCATATTCTTGATCATGTCAATGATTAGTCAGCTGCAAGCTGATTTCCAGTGGAGTGGTCTTCTGGCATGGTACCTTTTCAGGCTTTGCTCTCTAAGGCGGTAGCTAACTCACACTCTCTAAGGCCGTGGCTGGCTAACTCACTCACACTCTCCTTTCTTTCAATTGATTTCAGCTTGCTGATTGTTAAACAACTCCAGTTCATTTTGATGGATCTATCAGACACCGATTGTAATGGGCCCTCCACATGTGACCCAGCAGCAGGCTCCTGTCAGCCACACTGGGCCCCGGATGCTTTTGAACTTCTGCCGGAGAGGCCATTCCCCAGCCCATAGGCTTGTGGCTCAGGTGCAGGCTTAACTCACCCCATGGGCCTTCTGCAGACTCTAGAGCTGGGCTCCACCATGGACCAATTAAACAGAGTCTCTGGGAGCGAGGCCAGGGTATTAGCACTTAAAACTCTCTCTCCATGCTTCTAATTTGCCACAGGACCCAGGGCTCCTGCCCCTATCACGCTTGAATTAATCAGGCAGGGGAAGACTGGCTTCACTGTTTGCACACTTGGGCCATCCCTCAGAACTTTTCTTTTTTAAAGTTTTCATTATGGAAATTTCCCAACATATGCGAAAGTAGAGAGTACAATATAATGAACCCCTGTGCCTCTGTCACCCAGCTTCAACAATTACCCTGGGGGTTTAGGAAGCTGACATGGTTTGAATTAAGTTTGAAACAGGGCACTGGCTGCTATGGAGCTTGTAAAAATGTGGTGGGCAGGAAGCACTGGAGATTGCAAAGTCAACCCGGAGCCTAGGCTAACGCGGAGAAAAAGGGTGGAAGCTGGGAGGCTTCCAGGTCAGGTAAAACGGAAGGTACTGTGGAGGCTGGGGCATCCATTGACTGCATACTGGCTGGGGATTGAGTGGAGCAGGGGCTGATGGGAAAGCATGCTTGGTCAGGACAGAGGAGAGCTGGCTGGAGCCTGATGGAGGTCAGGGAGGTGAAATGAGACAGTGCATGCCCACAGGAGGGTGAAACCAGCTTAGTCTTGCCCTTGCCTTCCTTCCCTGTCCAACGCAGCCTCCTCCAGGGCCTCACCTGCTCCCGCTCCGCTGTCTTGCGGAGTTTGTATATAAACTCGCCCACTGCCACCAACACGGACAGGACTAAGCCGGCAGCCAGGACGATGAAGATGCCGCCGATCTTCTGGATGCCCAGCGCGCTGGCTTCCTTGTTCTCCTCCTCTGGGCACCCACTGCCTCGCCACCACTTCTCCTTCATGATGTGTAGTTTGTCTTCCTCCTGCAGCTGCAGGATGGCGATGGTGATTTTGTCCCGGTAGGGGGAGCCTGTGGAGGGGGCAGGGGGTTTGTCAGTGAGCGCTGCTTGCCAGAGCCAGCCACCATGCCTATGCCTCTGGCAGCCTAAAACAAGGGCTCCTTTCATAAAGCCCGCCTCCAAGTCCAGGTAAGGTATCTTGGTGGGGAAGACTTGCTCACTGGATGTCGGTCCTGTGGCCCCGGAAGGCCCTGAGTATGTGGGTGTATTAACAGGGACTGGGCAAGGAAGGTGGGGCGCTGTCCCAGCTCTCACTGCGCAAGGCTAGGGCTAACCAAGCCAGGGCTGTGACTCCATCCCTCTGCTCCTGGCTGACAGAACACCACCTTCCCAGCTCCAGTGGAACGATCATCAGGAGTGTGGGAGAGGAGGGTGGAGGGGCCGGAGAACCTTTGTTTGCACCACACTGCTCTCCCTGGGCCCCGCTCACCCATGGGTGTGCCGATGCCATAGCCCTTGGAGTCAATGAGGCCACCAATCTGGGTGAGGTTGCAGTTCCTTTGTGTGATATACTCTATGGTAGTGGACTCCATGAGCAGAGCGTAGTCAGCTGTGAGCGTCCGCTGGATACCCTCCTCATTGTTTTTCACCAGTGCCGAGGGCTTGCTGCTCATGAAGGCCCACATCTTCTCGAAGGTAGAGATCTTGGATTTCTGGGTAGCAAGGGATGGGAAGGTTTAAACCAAAGTTACGGAGCCCCTCCTCACACGTTCCACTCCCTTTGGTCACTCAGCATGGCTCTAGTTATCCAACTCTGTGTATACTCTGCAGGGTAGGAGAGCACCACCCATTGCATGGATATATAAACTGAGGCCCTGGGAGGCGAGGTGCTGAAGTGCACAGCTGAGGTTCAGACTCTGGTCCACTTCCTGGTAGCCCTGCATTTTTGCCAGGGCACAAACAGTCTTAGGAATTAATTAATTTTTGAGACAGGTTTGAGGCTTGCCGATATAATGGGGCTCTCAGAGCCACCTCTCCCCCTGCGGCCAGGGCAGAGCTGGTCTCTGTTGGAATCAGGCAGCTGGCATGCATTAAGTCCCCAGGACGGTTCATGGACACCCGTCCAGACAGCAGGGGACACTCATGCCAATCTGATCTCTCCTCCTCAGCTACGTGTAGAGTTTGAGGCCAGCTTGATTGTCTCCAAAATCAATTAATTCAAAAGACTGTTTGTGCTCTGGCAAAAACGCAGGGTTACCAGGAAGTGGGCCAGGATGACTTTCACTTTCTGTTCCTCCTGCCTCTGCCTTCCAAGTGCTGGGATTATAGGTGTGTGCCACCACATCTGGTACTCGGGATTGAACAGGGCTTCATGTATATGGGGTAGGCACTCTGCCGACCTAGCTGCAGTCCCAAATCTTGGGCTGACTTCTTCAAAATGAGTTTTCTCCGGCATTCGTTAGTCAATTAACAAGTAGAGGTCTTGTTCTAAGAGCCTTATCTGTATTCACTCACCTAAATCATAAGAAGTAGTAGTTATTAGTCCCATTTTACAGATGGGGAAGCTGAGACACTGTTAAGTAATCCACCCAAGGTTATTCAGAAACTAAGCAGCAGAGGCAGGCTTCAAATCCAGACCCTCTGGAGACAATCCATGTGCCTACCCACACAGCTGCATTGTATCCCAGGAACCACTAGGGGGCACACATGAAGGCAAAGCTCAGTGGGCTTTGACTCCCCACTTTGACTTCAGGCAAAGCTGGATCCATTTTCATACTCTTTCAGGGGAGGACTTAAGCATGGTTCTGGGCTGTTCCTCCCAGGACTGAGAGAGGCTCAGTGGGAATTGTAGGCAGAGAAAAGGTGAGGCTCCTGGGAGGAGTGGTATGCAGGTCTCCATGACTGCTCCATGCCTGAGGCACTGTGCAGGCTGGGCAGGCTGGTGGGTGGGCTGCTGTGTCTGTCACAGAGAGATTCAGGGGGGTCCTTGGGGCAAGGATAGAGGGCTGGGTATGAGTGTCCCCTGCTGTCTGGGTGAGCTAGGTGTTCATGAACCATCCTGGAAACTTAATGCATGCTAGTTGCCTGGTCCCAACAGAGATCATCTCTGCCTTGGTCCCAGGGGGAGAGGTAGCTCTGAGAGCCCCATTGTAACGGCTGTTTCCAAGTCTGGCTGTGGCCTTCTGTGATGTCAGCCTGTCTGATTGGCACCTAGCCCAGCTCTGGTGCACGTGACAACATGGGTGCACTCCCACAGGCTGGCACAGGCTTGGGGGGAAGGGCAGGGAATGAGGCCATGGCTGCCAGAAGGGGGCAGGGAGCCCGAGAGGAATGTGTACTTCTTCTCTCTGGGTGCTTCTGGGCTCTGGCAAGGGATGGGTCCTCTGAAGATGGCTGCCCAAGTCCACAGCTCGCCCCAGGGGGAGAGGCGGTAGCACAGGAGAGGGCATCAGAGCAGTAGGCAGGAGCCTTTGGACTCCATCTTAGATGGAATCAACTGAGCTACAGGGCATGAAACTCTTCACGGAGCAGCCGCTCCCCTGCCTGCAAACTCATTCACGAGCCTCAAAGCCAATGCACAAAGAGTCGGATGCACTGACTCTCCCAGCTTCACCCAACTGCTCTTGCCTGCAGCCACCCTACCCTCAGCTGCTCCAACTCCAGAGCTGCTCTTCTTCTGCCCCACTCTGCAGCCTGCTACCTTCCAGTCATCTTTCTACCTCAGCTCATCCCAAGTGCTCCCCCGCTAACACCTCTTCCCTCAAAGATGAATCTCATTGCCAGCTTTTCTGATGCTCCAGATGTTTCTCATTTTCCGGATAATTTCTGATATGCAGATTCGCCTCTGGCAGCCTCTCTCGGCCCCTCTCCCTGCTCTGCACGCCTCTTCCCAGGGCACCGCACAGCTTCGAAAGACCCCCTTTCTGGGCAGTCACACCCTTGTTCTGTCTCCTCCTCCTAAGTGTGGTCCTGACCTCTTGGGTCATTCTCTGGAAGGGCTGGAATGCCACTTCTGAGTGACACGACTTTGTCTTCATCTCCCTGCGCGTTCCTTGGCTCGTCTCCCAGGTGGTGGTGTGGTGCTAACATACTATGCATTAAATGGCCCCAAGAAGAGATTCCCATGACAAGGACAGAGGACAGCATCTGGCCAACTCTTAGCCAAATGGTACTTCCCTTATTCAGTGCAACAATCCCAGAGGAGATGAGTACGTGTACATGCCATGAGCTTAGAAGGCACTCCTCAGAGTGACTGCAGCCTTGGTTGACAGCTGGCTCACAGCCCACTGAGGAGCCTTAAGCCAGAGGACTCTCAAAGCCCCATTGGATTCCTGACCACAAGCCACCAAACAACAGATGTTGTTTTAAGACATGAAGTTTGGGGTAATTGGTTAAGCAGTGGATAACTAATACACACTCTCACATACGTGCTCCCGAGAACGGTACTGTTCCCGGTTGAGCTGCTTATACAGATAATCCAGAACTCCAGCTCTTCCTGCGATCAAATCCAACCACTTCACTTTGCCAGACGCATGGCTCCCCAGACTCGCTGGCATTCTGGTTGTTCTGACCTAACTGCCGTTCTCCCCTCAAAGACTACAGCTCCTCAGCTGCTGCATTACACTCCTGCCTCCTGCCTCCCAAATTCTGTTTTCTACAGAGGTGGGAGCCAGGTCTCTTTCACCTTCTAATGTACCTACCTGTGAGTTCACCCACTGTCTATCCATGCATGTGTACATCCAACAATCCATCCATGCACCCACCCATGCATGCATGTACGCCTCAGTCCACCCGGCAGGAGTCCCCTAAGCCACTCATACATGCATCTGTCCCTCTTTCCTTTTCTTATTGGCCATCTGCTCATTTCCCCTACCCTTACTCTCCAATGACCCTTTCTGCCAGCCTGCCCTCCTCCCCGACCCTCAGGATGTAATCAGAACACCTTTCTGTCTGAACTCCGCCTTGCACCCTCCATTCCTCCTATCCACAGGTCTCTGTCTGGTGCCAACAGAGATGCTTTCCCTAGATCATTGTCTAAGGCAGAGAATTCAGTTGTGCCTGGAGGGTGTACTGAGGGGGAGAGACTCCAAGGAAGAAACATAGAGATCACTGGTAGGTACAGGGACAAGGAAGGGTACCAGTGAGTACAGCCAAGTTAAGGCGGGAGATGGCACAAAGCAGAAGCCACTATGACATGCCTTTCAAGAATCCCACCTTCCAGTTCCAGGGCTCCAAACTCTTTTGGCTTGTTGTCACATTAGTCTGCAACCTGCTTCCCTTGGATGTCCCCCACTGTTCTTGACCCAGACCCCAATTGGGCCCCATTGTCAAATATACCTGCTCACAGTCTCTCCCCATTATGCTTTATCTTGGAACAGTTCAGAGATTCTGGAGCACTGCCCTGAACCCCCAACATGTCCACCATAGAAAGAAGCAAAGCCATCCTCACCAGAGGCCCGTGTTTCCACTACTGGCCTGAGCTGTAGTCACCTCTCTGGGGAGTAGAGTCCCACAAACCAACGGCTCCGGAGTCATCTGCTGTCCTGGCTCTGGTGGAAACCTTAATAAGGGTGACTGCAGAGCCAGTCACCTAAATCAATTAATGGAATCGTTTGGAGCAGCCAACACGGGGCGATCTGCCAGGATGAAGATGCTTTTTATATCAGGAAAAATTGGCAAGAAAGGGAGTTCCAGGCTCACGACTCTCCATCTCAGCCTCCTCAAAGAAGTGAATTGATTTTCCCCAACTGAAGACACTTAATCTTGAGAATTTAACATTTCTGTACAAGAGAATGTATATGGGGCTATATATGCATATATAAACACCTATCTATCAGCTTTGAGTGCAACTAAATCTCAGGGAGTGGGCAGAGGCAGCTGAGTGGGGCTCCACGGAAGACTGGGTATTTTTCCATTCTGGAGAAGAGACCTTTCCTCATATTAATTAGCTTGCCTGCCCCGGGACCGGGGAGGGGATGGTCTTTGGCCCCGTCAGAACCGTGTTCTAGAGCAGTTAATGGTGCCTCCTGGTTTATTGCTGTGAGTACCAGGAGGCCTCTCTGAGTGCCCAGCCTCTGCTATTACAGTCCCAAGATAGCCTGCAGCTTTTCTCTCAGAGGGCTGCAGGTGGAGATGGCAGATCACAGAGGGCTCAGCTCCACTGCACAGACCCTGGTGTCACAGCAGCCTGTGTTCAGATGACAACTCCTTCTGTTACATCACACCTCTGAGCCTTACCTTCCATGTCTGAAAAATGGGGCCTGAGAGGACGCCTCCCGAACCTGGCTATCATCAAAGTCAGCAGAGGAAAGGCATGGAGTCACTAATGAACACAAGAGCCCCACCCTAAGGCTCTCCATGTGGCGGGCACTATTACCATTCCTCAAGGAGCCTCGGTTCCCTTTAAAGACAGCTTTTCCACTTAGAAAAAGGAAGTAATCTTCGTAGTGCAGTGCAGTTATGGAAAATAAATGACACAAAACTTAGGGGGAAGGGATGCAGGAATTGGCTCAGTTGGGAAAGTACCTGCCTTGCAAACACAAGGACCTGAGTTTGATGTCCAGAGCCCACCGTTAAAAAAAAAAAAAAAGATCTGGCACGGTGTCACCTGGTTTATAATCTCAGCACCAGTTAATCAGAAATAGGTGGATCCTGGGCCCCAATGGTCCCAGCCTAGCCTATTTGGCAAGTTCCAGACCAGCAAGAGACCCTG